GAAGAAAAGAGCTTACAAACCCTTCTGTTTGTTTATAAGTGTGCTTATCACTTAATAACATATACTTTTCTTAGCAGGCTCTTTCGAGCCCACTGAGAGCTGACTAGTGATTTTAAAAATACCTATATTCCTCTAGTGCTCCATTTAGCTTAACCATCTTTGTCTGCTTCAGTGGTGCAGCCATAGCATTGTCAACATTTTCGGATACTGAGAAGATGCCTGAATGTGTGTGTAAACATGCCTGTGTAACGGTGTTTGGTTAAGCCATTCTAAAATTTGTGTATTTCAAATTTACAAGATGGAAGCTTGTCCCAGGTGATGTAAATCGCATTACCTTGATGTGGGCGTCCGAGGACTTCTGCAAAATCTCCGAATGTCCTAGTGGTTTCAGCTCCTGTATTCAGCCACAGTTGACAAAGCAGAACTCGACCAAATGTCTCTGCTAATTCTGTAGAAGAAAAAGGAGGAGTTGTTAGTGAGTCAGCTGCCCTGGTTAGCAAACAAACATAGCTTTTTAAGCCCAGAAAATTACAAGAACCTGAAAGTTATCTCTATTTTGTTTTTCTTATCAGTGATTCCTCATCTTTCTATACGCTATATTATTTTTTCAATGTCACAAAGCACTGAATAGAGCAATTTTCATCTACGGTACATATATATCATCCCTTTAAAAATAATGTCAAGCATAGGCAATTAATGTTGCACAGGATAATAACAGACAAGTAAGATTTGGAGGACAGAGAAGCTTTTAGTTAGAGATACGCTATTTTTTGTTAAGTTACCAAAATGTTATTTATAGAACCTTTCTGTTCTAGAATATCTGTGTATTCATAATTTTGTCAGGTGAATGCTGTAATTCTTTGAAATACAAAAGGTAATATATGCTCATTATTATAAGCTAAAATATGTAAGGAGGTACTGAAAAATTGTTGATATTTGTCTTGCTCTCACATTCCAACTAGGTTTTTTATTCTTTTTACAAAGTTGAAATTATATTCAAGGACCCCCCCCCCCCCAACTCCAGGTCCCCCCACACACACTGTAAATATTACTTTTAAAATTTGCTTTGTTTTACAAGGTGTCAATGACACATCTCCGTGGGTAGATCTAATTGGATTTAACACATTCCTTACAATGGCAGGTAATAGAATCTGTACAGCTTTTTCAGACTTATTTTTCTTTCATGGACTTTCAGATTATTTTTGATGCTGCGATAAGCCTCCTTGTAATGGAAAGAGCTCAGTTTAGAATCACCCACCCTGTGGGCTCCACTGCCCCTGCCAGTGATCTCTAAATCACAGATACGTTCTGTCAGGAAGGCCAAGTGGCTGTCACTGTAGCGAGCTTCCTCCCCGTAGTCCTGTAGGATTGGGCTGGCCGAAGTGCCCGTCTTATGGTGGAGCACGGCACCCTGGCCGTTCAGTCCGGGTGGCTCTGAGAGGAAGATGGTACCAAGTGGGAGTTGGGAGAAATCAGCTTGTGGCTTGGCCTCCCTTCATGTCCAGTTCTATTATTTTTTTTTTTTAATCTGAAAAGGGTAGTGAGTGAGTTAACTTTGACAAATGTTTGGTTTTGTGATGAGCTTATTTTCTAGGATCTACCTAATAAAAGAGTAACATGCTAGCCAAAACCAGTTTGGCTCAGTGGTAGAGCATCAGTCTGCGGACTGAGAGGTCCCAAGTTCAATTCTGGTCAAGGACATGTACGTTGGTTGCGGGCACATCCCCGGTAGGGGGTGTGCAGGAGGCAGCTGGTTTATGTTTCTCTCTCATCGACATTTCTGGCTCTCTATCTCTCTCCCTTCCTCTCTGTAAAAAATCAATTAAAAAAAAAAAAAGAGTAACATGCTAAATGACCGTACCTTGGTGATGCCCACCAGCCAATCAGGAGTGTGTATGCAAATTAACCCAATAAAGATGGCGGGTTAATTTGCCCACACAGGTGCCCAGCTATTCTCAGCCTCTGGGTAGCGTGGGAAGGCTCCAGGCTGGCGCAGAAAGGCTGCTCAGGCCAGAGTGAAGGTGGTTCTGGCAGCCAGGGGAAGGAAGACCCACTCTTGCACAAATCTTCCTGCATCAGGCCTCTAGTCAAGTTATAAAAACGGACTAATTTAGAAAAATAATAAAGGCAAAAGCAAAAACTTCCAAAATAGCAGCCAGCAGCAAAGAAACCTTGACATAAGCTTGGAGACCAGAATCCCTTCTTCCTTGTGGATGGCCTATTCCCAGCCACCTTTTGGAAGTTTTCTTTCAATGCACAAGTGCTAACTCAGTACTCTTTTAACATTATCTTCCTTTTTTTTTTTTTTAATATATATCTTTCTTGATTTCAGAGTGGAAGGGAGAAGGAGAGATAAAACCATCAATGATAAGAAAGAATCATTGCTTGGTTGCCTTCTGCACACCCCCTACTGGGGATCGAGCACAAAACCTGGGCATGTGCCCTTGACCAGAATTGAACTTAGGACCCTTCAGTCTAGGGCTTATCTTCAGTTTTAAGATTGGGACTACTAGGCCAGTAATAACCAAAGTGTTCAAGCTCAGCATAGTTCACTCATTTCTAGTTATGCAGGAAGATGTTTCACAGAAATACTAGTACACATTCAATCATGGTCTTCACTTCTGATGTATTAGAAATTGGCTGAGGACAGAGTGCCTGGCAAATGGTCTGTTTCCAAACTGGCCTCAGGTGCTACTCACAAGCTAGAGATCTCACAGGTAGAGAAGACATCTCTAATTGAAATTCACACATCATGGGGGTGGTCACAAGGTAACTAAACATTTATAAATATACTAGAGGCCTGATGTATGAAATTTGTGCAAGAGTAGGCCTTCCTTCCCCTGGCTGCCGGCACTGGCTTCCCTCTGGCACCTGGGACCCGGGCTTCCCTCGCAGCCCCTGCTTCATCTGGAAGGTTGTCCAGAAGGACATCTGGAAGGATGTTTGGTCTAATTATCATATTGTGCTTTTATTATTATGGATTCTTTCCTATTTAAAAGTAGTGAAGGGCAGAATCTAAAGTAGCTGTTGTGTGGCTATACATATCTCAGAGACTTGGAAAGCTAATTTTGTAGTAACCTACATGTCTTGTTTTCAGAGTAAGCTGAAATTAGATGCTAGATTAGCAGCTGTGCCACTCTAACTAAGTCAATTAAAGTTCCTGCGCCCCAGTTTCCATATCTACAGAGTGAGGGTGATTCCTCACTACCTCACAGGGTTTGGGGGAGATTTAAGTGAGAATAATAGACATGAAAATGTTCACACAGTGTTGAATGAATGCTGATTTCCCTCTTAAAAAACTTCGGAGGTTTTCCAGGCGTCAGATATTTCTTGTTAGGATTAGAGTGGGCACACAGGAGAGTGGTAGAGTAAATAAAACTTAGTGAGACATGAGCAATGATGCCAGTCATCAACCATATGGTTTTGTAGTTACAAAGAGTTTCTATACCCTTTCTCTCATTAGTTTTTCCGCAAGAATTCTCTGAATCAGTCAGGCCATTTTTTTTTTAAATAGTGACTCAGATAAATTAAATGGATTAACCAATATAACTTTGTAAGCCTGGAATGTTCTGTTTGAATAATAGTCCAGTGCTCTTTACATTAATCTGTACTGTCTTTCAATGCCAGACAGTTGGTGAATATTAAACAATTAGAAGTCCTAATTGAGCTCAAAATTATGTTTAAATTCTAGCATTGTTCTCAAATGTTTCCTAATTCCTAGAAAAACGAAACTATCTGGAGAAGAAGCCTAGTTGCTCTGGATTCCTCAGGCCAACACTAAACTCAATGTGCATGCTATGGGCCAAAAAGAGTTGCATTTTTAATTTCAAATGCACGTATTTTGTGACTGTTTCCCTTCATTTTTTAGCATTTCCTGAATTGAAGCTCACTGATTGCAAAGGGCTCTCCTCATGAAAAGTTTGATTTGCTTTGTGTATATAGGCCAATGTTCACAAATTCCTACCCTCAAGTGCCACAAATGATGATTATCTCCATCCTTTGGTTGATACTCACCACATTCTGTGTCGTTATCTGTGCTTGCATGTTTACCTTCTTTCTTCCCTTTGAGAGTGCAAGTCCCCTAAAAACAGAGAATGTATCATTCCTCTGTACTCTTGATGTCCAGCTGAGAGCCTAACATTTAATAGCTTCTCAATAAATTGTTCCTGCTCCTGCTGCATTTGCGATACTCTTCATTGTTGACTTCTTAGGAAAGATTCATTAGGAAGCATCATATGATACAGAGAACATTTTAACAGTTGCCAGAGGGGAAAAGAGTTTGGGGGACGGGGTGTAGTGGTGAAAAAGGAAAATGGATTAAGAAGTGCAAATTATAGTTAAAAAATAGACATGGGGATATAATGTACAGCATAGGAAATACAGTCAATATTGTAATAACTATATATGGTATCAGATGAATACTGGACTTAACAGGGATCACTTCATAAGTTATATAAATATACAATCATGTGGTTGTACGCCATGAACTAATATGTTATTGTACATTAACTGCTAATTAAACATTTTTTGAAAGGTGAAAAAAAGAAAACATATGAAATGGTTTTAGAATAAGCAATATCTGCTACCTCTCTCCCTGTAGAGTGAGGGATCTCTTGAGAGCTTTTTTGTAGAGACTGACAGTTACTGGGAAGATGAAGGATGCTTTAGGAAAGCACTAGGAATCACCATGTCCACTCGAAAAGATAAAACGAGTCCTACACTCCCCAACAGAACATGCGGCATTGAAAATTAGGGCTGAGAAGAGCGCAGAGAGAAACACACAGCTGTCACTGGGGGGTGGATGGTAGGGGTGGTGGGGGGGAACCTTTGAGATAAAGTTGAATTCCTTATTTGTAAAGAGTGGGAACAGCGTGTATTATGTTTGCTCCTCACAGATTATAGTGATTTGGTTTTAGGCTGAACAAACACTCAAAGCAAATCCTGGCAGGCAGAGTCTGGGAGTGGCCAAACAAGCCAGTATTCATTTCCTTCCCAGCCCCCGTTGGCTGATCCTTCCATAGAAAAGCAGAACAAAAGGCAAGAAGATTGCTGCACCCTAAAACATCCAAGTGGCTCTTCTGGCTCGGGTTATTTTTAGCAACCTGGCTCGCACTGAGAACTTCCTGCTCTGTTCTGAGCAGATGGAAACTCTGGGGCCAGAACAGTAGACATAGATGCAGAGTGTGAGCAGCGATTAGATTCCCCAACAGGCTGGTTGTGGTTCTGAGCAAGCCATGCCTTTCAGCCACCATTGCGAGTGTTTACGTCGGAACAGGCGCATCCTCTTCTTCACGTGCACCTTCTCTTTGTAGATGTTGATATGAGGACAGAGCCATCGGAAATGACTGATGTGGAGCTCGGGGTCGACAATTTTGCATCTTCAGCAAGGGCAGGCCGCCGGAATGCCGTCCCAGACATCCAGGGTTCAGCCGGGATAGGCGGGACTTCCGAGTTGCCCCTCAAACTGGAGACCCTCTCCATAAAGGAAGGTAACAGTACATTTCTCTTACAATCAGCAGCACTTCTCTCTGAACCAATTCTCTCCTCTGCACGTCTCCCTGCTAAGTGCTGGTTTCTCCTACTGTTGACTACCCCCTTTCATCTTCTGTGTTTATGGTCAAGTAGGTTTTTTCGGGCTTCCCGAAAGTGGACAATTTCATCTTTTTGTCTCGTAGTGTTTTGTACGTGGAAACTGAGCATTTATGTATTCATTGGGTGTGTATTGTCATACACAGTGCTGGTGATTGGGGGTAAAAGAACAGCACATATTATCCTTTCTCTCAAGGAGCTTGCAAAATTGATTGTGATGTACTCAGAAAGAACATAATTTCTCTTCTGCCACCCACGGACAAATCACTTGAGGAGCCTCTGCTTCACTGCACTAATTTTTAAAAATATATTTTTATTGATTTCAGAGAGGAAAGGAGAGGAGAGGGAAGGATGGAAACATGGATGATGACAGAGAATTATTGATTGGCTGCCTCCCGCACACCCCACACTGGGGATCCAGCCCAAAACCAGGGCATGTGCCTGACCGGGAATAGAACCTTGATCTTCTGCCTCGTAGGTCAAAACTCAATCACTGAATGAGTCACGCTGGCCAGGCTCACTGCAGTATTCCATAAGATTAGCTACCGGTATTTCTCTTAGAGGAAGTTTATTATCAACTAGAGATGAGATCTTGAAGGCATTTTTATAAAAGGTGATCAGACTTCAACCAGTAGTTGAATTAAGAAAAAAAAGAGAGAGAGAGAGAGAGCTGTCAAGCGAATGAAGGAAAATCTTGGGTCTTTCTCCCCATGGCTTACATATAGCCCATATAGCTTTTGCAGAGTTTAGTTTTCTGGGACTAAATATAATAATAATTTCAATAAAGGTCTTTAAAAGTAACTTCATTTAAAAGCATTCAAAGAAGTTAAAGATAATTTCAGTTCCAAGTCATTACCAAAATACCGGTACCATGTGCCCCATTCTATTTTTTAATTTCTTTTTTTAAATTGAATTTATTGGGGTGACATTGGTTAATAAAACCAAGCAGGTTTCAATCTGCCACCATTTGTTTTCCCCTATACCCGTGGTCGGCAAACTGCGGCCTCGCGAGCCACATGCGGCTCTTTGGCCTCTTGAGTGTGGCTCTTCCACAAAATACCATGGCCTGGGCGGGCTGTGTTGAAGAAGTGGCATTAAGTTCAAGTTTAAAAAATTTGGCTCTAAAAAGAAATTTCAGCTGAAACCGGTTTGGCTCAGTGGTAGAGCGTCGGTCTTCGAACTGAAAGGTCCCGGGTTCGATTCTGGTCAAGGGCATGTACTTTGGTTGCAGGCACATCCCCGGTAGGGGGTGTGTAAGAGGCAGCTGGTCGATGTTTCTCTCTCATCGACGTTTCTATCTCTCTCCCTTCCTCTCTGTAAAATATCAATAAAATATATTTTAAAAAAATAAAATAAAATAAAATAAAATAAAAAGAAATTTCAGTAGTTGTACTGTTGATATTTGGCTCTGTTGACTAATGAATTTGCCGACCATTGCCCTATACCCTCTCCTGCCTCTCTCACCCCACTTTCCCTCTGGCTATCACCACATTGTGGTCTGTGTCTATGTGTGTGTTTTTTTCTTCTTCTTAATCTCTTCACCTTTTTTATTCAGCCTCCCAACCATCCCTTCTCTGACAGCTTTCAGTATGTTCTCTATATATCTGCTTCTATTTCCATTTTGTTGGTTAGTTTAATTTTGTTCATTAGATTCCACATATGAATGAAATCATATGGTACTTGTCTTTCTCTGACTAGCTTATTTCACTTAACATAGAGCATCATGCTATCACAAAAGGTAAGGTTTCTTTCTTTTCACAGTCATGTAGTATTCCACTGTGTAAATGTGCCACAACTTTTGTACCCAATAATCTCCTAATGGGCACTAAGGCTGCTTCCAAATCCTCACTATTTTTAACAGCACTGCAATGTACATAAATGTGCATATATTCTTTCAAATTAGTGTTTCAGGTTTCTTTGGATATATTTCCAGAAGTGAAATCACTGAGTCATCCCATTTTAGATGTCAAGGTAGACGTAGACGTGTGTGTGTGTGTGTGTGTGTGTGTGTGTGTGTGTGTGTAGAAATGTATTCCTGGTGACAGTGAAGAATGAGAGAGCTAGAAGCTTCTTTCACCTCTACCCCACTAAGAGAAGGCTCTTAGTTCTTTGCCTCAGGTTATTTACTACCTGGTAAAGTCACTAATGTTCCTGGTTTGATTCCCATGAAATAAACATGCCATTGTTAGGCAGGGGCCATAGACAGATCCTGGAGTCCCATGGTTACCTCACTTTTCCCCAAAGGTCATTGCATTTCTCAAATGGGACACTACTGGTAAAAGTTACAAAGTATACACATAAGCCCTGGCCAAGGTGGCTCAGTTGGTTGGGTGTCCTTCCGTACATGGTTGCACATTCCTGGTTTTTGGCTTAATCAGGAGGCAGCCGATTCATGTTTCTCTCTTCCATGAATGTTTCTCTCTCTCTGCCTCTTCCTTTCTCTCTCTCTCTGAAACTAAATAAAAAAACCTTTTTTTTAAAAAAAGTATACACATAAAAAAGTATGCGCATAAGATGAAAAAAGATGGAAGAAATAAAAATAAAATAAAGCATAAATAATGTTTGGGGTGTTTTTTTTTGTTTTTTTTGGCTTTTTAAGTTTGAAAATGCCATATATAATAGACCTCCTTTATCCATAGGGGATATGTTCTAAGACTCCCAGTAGATGCCTGAAACCTCATATACTACCAAACCCTACATATACTATGTTTTCTCCTGTATATATATACCTATGGTAAAGTTTAATTTATAAATTAGGCACAGCAACAGAATAACAACAATGACAATAATAAAATAAAAAAATTATAACAATATACTGGAATAAAATCATGTGAATGGCTTTGGGGCCATTTTAAGTAAAATAAGGGTCACTTAAATACAAACACTGTAACATTGCAATGGTCCATCTGATCACCAAGACAGCTACCACCTCACCAACGGGTGGGAAGCTTGTATGTACAGCCTGGAGACACTGGACAAAGGCGTGACTCATGTCCCAGGTGGAACGGAGCAGGATGACATGAGATTTCATCACAATTACTCAGAACAGTGTGCGGTTTAAAACTTATGAGTGTTATATCTGGAATTTTCCATTTAATATTTTTGGACCATGGTAACTAAAAACCGCAGAGAGTGAAACCATAGATAAGGGGGGACAACTGTATGATTATCAAAACATGATGTAGCTGTTGAATAACCATCCCCAACTAATGAGGTAGAGAAGTTACTTGTCAATATAAAAGGTCTAATCAAAGTTTATAAACACAAACACACACCCCAAAATACATGTTGACATTACTCAGTTAAGGAAAAGAAAGCTAATATACTGGAAGAGAGTTAGTATTCTTCATCATTTTATATTCTGGTCACCAGAGAAACTATTATCTGAAAGAATATTGCTACTATTTTTATATGATTCGTTAAATCGTTTTGAAATAAAGTCAAGGGCATCAACTAAGAAACTAAAAGTACTAAAAATACAGTCAGCATATAACACCAGGTATTAAAGAATACGCAAAAGGAAACGCATTTACAGAAGTAGATGGCATAGAAAATGTTTTATTAACAGAGTTATAAATAAGTGGATTTAAGGCCTATTTTCTTTTAATTAGCTAAGTATAAATATTATTAAGTGTTTTAAAATTAATAGTTTCCAATTGCTAATAAAAAAAAAAAAGTTGGCGCCGAGACCGGTTTGGCTCAATGGATAGAGCGTTGGCTTGGGGACTGAAGGGTCCCAGGTTTGATTCCAGTGGGGGTGTGTGCAAGAGGCAGCTGATCGATGACTTTCTCATCGATGTTTCTAACTCTATCTCTCTCCCTTCCTCTCTGTACAAAATCAATAAAAAAAAAAGTTGGGATCTGACTTTTCTTTGTGTAATTTTTATGTCTGGACTGATGGCAAAGTATGTCTTAATCAAGTAGAAAATGACTAGGGTACATAAAGGAAAAATCTTAATATATTACACATATGAATGAAAATTATTTATTTTTTTAGATGTAAAAAAGAAAGATGAAGGAAAAACACAAGACCAAACGGAAAAGCCCCCAAATGAAGGAAAATGAAGGCTCACACCATATCAAGAGTGCTGAATTTCTGCAAGGTGAAAGACTTTAGTGGTTCTGCTTTCCTGAGATGTTCGATCTGGTAGTAACTATGGTAACAGTGCAGCCCTAAGCAGCATGTGTGTACTAGATAATTTTGTTGTGATGCTACTCACTTGGATTGCAACCATGAGGTCCAATGTAGGTCATTAAAAGGCAGATTACATCCAAATTGCACCCAAGGAAAAAATTAAGAATGTATGGTCATTTAAATACATATCATTGTCTATAAACCCAATAAAAATCCACTATTCTCTTTTAGACTTATTTAGCCAGATGTGATTTGAATTCTGCTGTTATGGTAGTAGATAAAACATTTAAACCAAACAATACTAATAAATGGGATTTGGAGAATCTTATTGGTTTTTTTGGGATAGAATGCTTGTTTCTAATTAATTAATTTTTTTTTGGTCCCAAACCCTAAAAATATTTGGAGGAAAAGTATAAACCTGACAATGTAAACATCTCCAGGATGTTTTTGTCTGATATACATTGCTTCTAGTCTATGTATACTGTGGTTTTTCATGTGGGCTCTTAAGATGCAAAATTTGTGATAAATTGTTTATATGTAATATGCCTATTAAATGAATTTTATTATCTTCCTTAACTTGGGTGTGTGTATGTTTTTATTTAATGTGAATATTGCAGAAATACTTTATTAGTTGCTTTATAGTCTTTTCTTATTCTTAGGGCTTTTGTGTATATATGACTTGTTTCTAAAGTAATTTTCTCAGGAATGTAGACTTTAATTTTTATATCTGTCCTAGGCACTTAAATATTTGAAGAATGAGGTAGGTATAAATAACAAAATACTTGTTTTTTAATATATATTTAAGTATGTTTTAAAATAAATAAAACCAAAGCCTTAGTAAATGTTGATTTATTAGACATTTTAGAAAAAGAATAGGATTCTGGATTTTTTTAAAAATTACCAATGAATTATTTTTATTTTCAGACATATATGCCTGCAGTTTTACCTTATTTGATTGTAACTTAGGCCATGTCTGTATACAGTAATCAAATAAACTCTTTCACTGTTAAATCTGTTACCCACACAAGTCTCCTTCATTTTTATCTAAAGCATACCAGGAGAAAAATGACAACACATTTTTTAAAATGTTGACAATATATTTTAAAAGAGGAAATTAATAGTCTTTGTGATATAAAACACCTCCTGATTATTATTTATGAAGTTTATATCTATATCTAATATACACCAAAAAGGTAGATTTCAAAGAACCTGATAGTTTTAAATTCTCAAGTACAAATTTCTCTTTATAAATTAATTAAAAGTACTATTTTAGGTGTAGCACTTATTTAATATTCAATAAAATATATTTTAGCCATTAAAATGATATTTCTGATTTGTTTAATAACACAATATTGTATAAAGTGTCCCAAACAATGTATACTTGGTACACATTTTAAATTATTATGAAGTCAGTGCTTATTAAGATACATTTTGTTTTCAAACTTTTAAAGAGTCTGCAGAAATGAATACTTTATTTTGTCGATGCCTGTTTTCAAACTGATGACCGTCCTGGTCCAGGCACTGCTGATAGCGGGAAGCAATGGAATCACAAACATCAAGAATCATTTCTTGAGGTATTTGTGCACTCTCACTTTGTCAACGGTGGCCGGTTTTGTATCCCCATAAAAAAGTCTAGTGCATACATTTTCTTTGCTCAAAACTTAGTCTGGCTTCAGCCTTTATTTCAAACCAGTTAAACCTGAAAAGAAGTGAAAATTAAGTGAGTTATCAACTGTGTCGGTAAAGTGTGTCTGCATGTGTTTGGGGACACCCTGTGTAGTCAGTATAAAGATGGGTGGGAGTAGAACGGTGGTTTTCACCCTGGGGGAAGGGGCACTTTGCCTCCTAAAGGATTGGGCAGTGCCTGGATACATTTGGGGCTGCCATCAGCAGGACAGGGGCCTGAGGAGAGAGGGAGCTACTGGCATCTAGTGGGCAGAGGCCAGGGATGCTGCTAAACTGCTAAGCATCCTCAGTTCTACCAGGCAAACTCTAAAAGCAAAGAATGATCTGGCCGTGTGTGTGTGTGTGTGTGTGTGTGTGTGTGTGTGTTTGTCCGTGGTGCTGTGGCTGAGAAACCCTGAAGTACAGTTTCACCAGTAAACACATGAATATTGGATTCAAATGATTGGGGTTTGAATTTTAGTTCTGCTGCTCACAACCTGTGTGATCTTGGTCAATTTACATCATGTCTCTACCCCTCAGTGTACTCCTCTTGGAATGGCATTAATAATATCGATAGTGCGTATGTATAGGGCTAGTGGAAGTAGTAAACAAAACAGGACAGCAGGACCTCAAAAATGTTCTGTTCAACTTTTTTGTTTGTTTGTTTTGTTTTAATATATTTTTATTGATTTTCTACAGAGAGAGAGGGAGAGGAGAGAGAGTCAGAAACATTGATGAGAGAGAAACACCAATCAGCTGCCTCCTGCACACCTCCTACTGGGGATGTCCCTGCCACCAAGGTACATGCCCTTGCCCGGAATCGAACCTGGGACCCTTCAGTCTGCAGGCCGACGCTCTATCCACTGAGCCAAACCGGTCAGGTCTCAATGTTGTTTTGTTACAGTGCTGGTGAAGAGGAAAATAATTCAATTCCAGGCCAGGGCCACTGCCTGTGTGGAGTTTTCTCTGGGTTCTCCTGCTGCCTCCCACATCCCAAAGGAAAGCACGTTAGGTGAATTAGTGTCTGCCTTGTCTCACTCTGAGTGTGTGTGCGGCCCTGCGGTGGGGGGTTGTCCAGGGCTGGTTCCCACCTTGTGACCTGAGCTGCCGGGACAGGCTCCAGCCACCTGCAACCCTGAATTAGAACAAGGGAGTTGGAAAATAATTCTTCCTTGTTTCAATTACTATTTGTTAAGTTTACATATCACTCACATTTATTTCAATGTTTAATGTGAAAAGTGTTTTGAGTCTTGATACAGAAGTTTAGTGATATGTTTGTGACCAGAAATATGCAGTTAAGAACATTACTCTTGTTTCTGTCAATTAGCCTAGGGCAGTGGTCGGCAAACTGAAGCTCGCGAGCCACATGTGGCTCTTTGGCTCCTTGGGTGTGGCTCTTCCACAAAATACCACGGGCTTGGCGAATCTATTTTGAAGAAGCGGCATTAGAAGAAGTTTAAGTTTAAAAAATTTGGCTCTCTTGCCGAAACCGGTTTGGCTCAGTGGATAGAGCATCCGTCTTCGGACTGAAAGGTCCTGGGTTCGATTCCGGTCAAGGGCATGTACGTTGGTTGCAGGCACATACCTGGTGGGGGGTGTGCAGGAGGCAGCTGGTTGGTGTTTCTCTCTCATCGACGTTTCTGGCTCTCTATCTCTCTCCCTTCCTGTCTGTAAAAAAATCAATAAAATATATTTTTTAAAAAATGCTACTTTCCTTCCTAAGGAAGAAGAGTGGCTTTTAAAAAAATAAAAATAAATAAATAAAATAAAATAAAAAATTTGGCTCTCAAAAGAAATTTTAGTTGTTGTACTGTTGATATTTGGCTCTGTTGACTAATGAGTTTGCCGACCACTGGCCTAGGGGTTTTGGTGTTGTTACACAGAGTTTCTCTTAAAATTGCAGTTTCCAAGAATTTATTGATGGATGATGTTAAGTGAGGACTTACTGTGTATGTAAAACACTTGACTAATGCCAGGCAAAGAACAATTCAATAAATATTAGCTGTCATCACCATCCTCTTGTATTCAGATGCTTTGCCATTATTCTCTGATAGTGAAGGTGGCGGGCAGCTGAATTTGTCCATTTGGCTGTCTTCTGCCTTCCTCTGCAATTTCACAAACATTCCCAATTCTTGGTGCTGGGAGAGGACACTGTGATGGAAATTGACAATTCCTGGTGATTACTACATCAGTGCCAATTCAGACTTGCTAATGAGCTGCTGACATCTTTTGAGGATGAGTCACTCACTAGTGTTATGACAGTTACTGCAACACAACAATTTTGTGTCAGTATCTAAATGAGTAATCTGTTCCATGAAAATGTGAGAAAAAAGAAAGCAACCCATCTCTTGGGTCACAGTATTATTAGGTGGTTCTCTCTTGTTTAGAAGCCAGAAATGAAGCCATTTGATATATTCTGAGAGCTGTATATGCTAAATCACTTATCATCACAATGCACATATAAATGTCCCATCCTATACATATTTATAAGTATTTTTGCATTACAGAGGGTATCAAGGTTGTTGAATATTTGCCAACAGATTTTTTTTTTCTGAGAAGGAATTCAGACAAAAAACAAGAGATCAATGGTTTAAAGACAAAGTTGAATCCATCTATCAATTTTTAAAAAAAATCAAGCTATTTGGGGGAATGTATAGTAAAGTATTTTGTCATAGCAAGCAGACACGTTCAACAAAGCTCCCCAGCTGGGGCTCCTTAAGGGAAGTCTCCATGCCCATTTCACCATTTTCTTTTTACAGCCTCTTGCTTTATTTGGTTGTAAAGTCTTAATTAATACTGTAAGATAAACCAAGACAAAAGGGGACAATTGCGCAGCTGTCTGGAAACTTGATTCTATGCAAAAGAGAAGAAAGAAGAAACAAAAAGAAATTGTTTTGTGTCATGTGCCCAAAGGTATTTTTGTGATCTGGCTGCAAAGATTTGAACCTCCTTAGAATGTGAGTGCCTGCAGGGAGAGTCAAAAGGAAATGGTGCATTTGCTTCAGTTTTGCTAGCTCAGGGGACTGAGCTGCTTGGGTAGGTGATGAAGAAAGAACAAGAGAAAGAATTACCAAGGCACACTAACCTGATGCATTAATGGTGTAAACTGACTCCCAAGTTCAAATTACAGTACAGGTTTGCCCTTAACTCTCATGACTCTGGTTATTTTACTCTCTGCTTCAACTTCTTCAATGTGCAAAATGGTGAATTGCTATGAAAATTAAATTAGTGAACGCTGATAAATTGCTAAGGAAAGTGCCTGATACATAGCAAAAGTTATTCTTATTAATTTTCTGAGAATAAAGGGTGGTGGTGACTTTAAGGTGAATGTCCTACATTTGTTGATTTTTTCCTATGTTATTTGTCAATAACATTTTCTGTGTCATTTTTTATAGATTTCCCTTCTATTCCTTTTCTTTCTTTTCTTTCCACAGGCAGCAACTGCTTAGCTAAAACTAGGATTGATTAATGAGAGTGGGTTTTTCCTCAGAGTTATTGATGACAACTCTAAGAACAAAAATCTGCAGCTATTTAAAATATAACAAACAAAGAGCTAAAGGAAGGTTCTGTTGCTACCTGTTAAAAATCTAGAATGGATTTCTTACTGAGCACACCAATAGGAATAATTTTATTATTATAGCCACCCTTTGTGTGACTGGTGATTACTCAGCACCGTAGTGGATCCTTTTGAAGCTTCATAATAATAATCATACAAAATAGTTGTTAATGTTTCTCATTTTGTTAGGGGCGAAATAGGATATTGGGGAACTAGCTTTGGTTATGGGAAATATTAATCATGCCCTGTTAAGCATGATTGCCTTGTGTTGGTTAAAGAAAGGACATTCTGACCTGGCTGGGAGTTGTACGCCCCCAGGACCTGGGAGTCAGTCTTGTACCTGGGAGTCAACCTTGGAACCATTCTTCAAGAACTGCCTATTATCATGGAAAGATTAACAATCTTGTTGCCCAAACAATGGAGTCCCACCCCATGCCTATAATCCCTATTTGCCCTGTAATCCTTGTCCTACCCTATATAAGCAGCTGGTTTATGGGGGGCTGCAGAGCAGATGTTTGTGAATGACCTAATGATCTCCCATAATGCCAGCAGTATTGGAATAAATATGCATATATGATTCAACTGTGTCTATGTTTAATTGGCTCAAGTAATGATAGCAGGGATCCATTGATTGACCAGTTACAACTTTACCGATGAAGAAAATGGATTTAGGTCTCGCATTTCAGAATTCACTCAAGAAAGTGGCAACAAGCATCTGAGACAGGGTCCTCAGATCCAGGACATGCTCTACCTCACCTGCACCAAAAGGACCTCTTCCCTAAACCATCAC